ATGACCCTTAAGAGACCTCATATATTATTGGTTGGATAATAAGACCTTTAGTATATATTCCTTTTAGAAATTACCTCAATATGAATATAGAATGAATGTAATATGATAGTGTAATTCAATAGTATTAAAATTCAATTGAAAGTTAAGTTAATTCTTTTGAATAAATAGTTATTAATATATTATTATCATTTTTTGAAGTATTTTATTTGTAATCATAAATACAATAAATTAAATATTCTACAAAGATTAAATTACTGCCATCATTACTGAATAAATAGCTATTTTTACATTGCAAAGTCTGAGAAATTTGAAAATAAACACTAGAATGCCAAATTAAAGAAAATATTAAAAATCGAGAAGTAAATGAAAACTGTTATATAGTTATATATCATGTATATAATATTGAAGGATTTGATAATAATAGAAATAAAGTATTGAAATTTCAGAAGAAAATATTGAAGTCACTAAATAACTTCATTATCTCACTAGTAGAAAAGATTAAGAATTTGCTAAAATGACTAAATTGAACTTACTTGATGATTTTAGCTGTTGATAGAAAGAATTTACCCAAAATCTGAATGCAATCATTTTTAGAGATAATGGATTTAACAATAAAATCTGAATTGATTTAAATGAAAGGATGCTTATTAGATTTTAATCAATAATATTTTATCAAATTGAAAGATAAAAAGAAATGAATAGCTGAGTTAAAATCTAGAAATAGGCAAGAAGAAAAATCTTAAGAAGGAATAGATCTATAATTCTTATAATTATTACTCTTGGAAATTAGAAGAGTAATTTATTAATATTGATGCTCTATTATTAATTCTTAAGTCTCATAAAAAAAAATAGTTATAGTATCATTAAAGATTATGAATTTAAACTGAAATAAAGGTATCAAAAGAAAAAGTTGAAAAGATTGAGGTCAATGATGATGATGTAATCAAATCTTATAAAATTGAAGAGAATTCTTAGTTAGATTTATTTGCCTATGAATCCATGTAAATGTCCATCCTCATCATGGAAGATGTAATTAGTAATCAAATATATAAATCGAACTATAATATCTTAAGCAGAGAATATATTTTTTTACAATAGGAATAGCAAAATAACTTTGAATACAGAGGCTATAAGTGTAGAATAAATAATATCAAGAAATTTAAATAAAATGATCACAATAAATCAAAGTGAATTTCAAATTTCTATTTATCTTGAATTTTTATTAACAGACGTTTATCGAATTAAAAATGTATTTTTAAAATTAAAAAGCAAAAATAAATCAATTCATAATTGATATAATATTAAAATTTGTTTACACAAATCTGTTTATAGAGCTGATGCTCGATATAGAATTTTACAATTAAAATTTTATTCATAAATATTTTCAAACTTTTAATGAACCCAATACATTTTCATAATTGCTAATAGAATTAATAATTTAAATTAACTCTAATGAATGACATCCTATGCATATTCGTTATAATATTTTTAAAATTCTTATAAATATAAATACTAAAAAACAATATATTAAACGACTTCATAACTTTAACATTGTAATCATTTTTTATAACTTTTACAATTAATTAAATTTAAGTACAAAGTAATATATAAAAT